TTTGATGGTTAAGTGATACTATGTGAATGGTTGGTTTAATATATAGACTATTAGGATGGATTATGGCTCATTGACCCAAATTGTTCAATATGAGTTGTAGTCTTCATTAATACTATTTTCTATGAAAAGTGATATGGATCACTTTTATATTGAAAGGAATCATTAGTGGAACTTAATTGAAAGATAAAGAGCAAGCTAAGTTTCATTTTGTATGAGAGGAAATCCTTCTGGTATAAAACGGTTGAGGTAACAGGGGGATTTATATTTCTTATTGCTTTGTTTAGCTATTTTTAAATAAATATTGCTAGCTATCATACATTACATGTTTTAAATGATTAAACGCAATTACTTGTGTTTTATAAAGACTTATGGGGTACTACTTGGATAATAGTATATATATGTTTTCTATTCATTTAACAATAATGTTTTTATAGAAACAAGGTTATTTGCATGCATTGTAAATATAAAGAATGGAAGTTGCACTTAAACAAGTATAACTAGGTTAGATACTTTAGATAGGCTAAGGAATCGCTTAAGGGAGGAGTGATGTTTGTTATACCACCTTATAATGTTGAAGTAGTCAATACTCGAGAAAGGTAGATAAGAGTGAAAGGCATGCTCTCGATAGGAGTTCACTAATAGGAAGGTATGGACTTGTGATATTCTATGGCACATTGCCAGTACTCAATGTTGCCTTTTGTATTACGAGCTCAATACACTAAAGTGGTTAGTGGATTGAGTATTTGACACCTCTCAGTGGAGGAGGGAATCTGACATATGAAGTGTAAGGTTGAGTGTCTAGGCCAAGGTAGCTCTCACATGGAGAGTAAGTCGAGCTGGCTCTAGGAAGGAGTTAGTTTTGACTACTTAGGATTTACGTTGAAGGAGCACAGGAAATTAGGTGGATTCAATCATGCCTTTAATTATGTTTTGTACTTGTGAAGGTACAAGTAGATATAAGGTCTACCTATGAGCTAAAGAGTGTCAAAGGGCATTTTATCAGCTAGGAAAGGTCATACCGACCTATGTTATGCATTCATGCATTTTAAATGACTAAATTATATATTATGTTTAATCTATTATTCATTTATTTGACTATGGCTTACTTTGTAAAAATAAATGTAAATTTTTCTGTTACTGAGACTGCAATTATCTCACCCATTTCTTTTTAATATTTTAAGTCTAGGTGAAGGATCCAGTGGTAGATGAGAAAAAGAGCAGAGCTAAGGGTTGTTGGTGGATTGTAAAGAACTACAATCCCTTTCTTTTGAGAAAATTTATGGTAATGTATTTAGGATTAGAATGCCAATAGGATGTGATTGTATATGTATGTGTGAATATGTGTAGATTGTATGACTTTATATGAATTTTTGTCTACTTGTAGACTTATAACTAGAAAACTTGGTTATGATGTGTGATTTTGATAGATTTATTTGGTAGATCAAGTTTTCACTACAAGAAAATATTTATTTTGATATATATGTGATTATACAAGCAAATACAAAGTTGTTGTATTGCAAATGGTGTGCTATGAGGAAACATACACCTTGGAAAGAGAGAGTGGGTGTGTGGGCTCCACGAAGATCTCTGAGCTAAGTAAAAATGTTTAGCTTGTATATTCATATGTGTATATGGTATTTAAAATGATTTTTGGCCACTCTTGTATGATTTATAAATTTTGAAGACATAAGGTCCATTTTAGAAAATGGCACGTGGATGGTTAAATTTTGATATAAGAGATTTTTCTATTATTTAAATATTCTATCAGGTACTACTAGTCCTATTTGATGTGTTCAAAGTATTTTCACAAGTTTGTGACCATTAAGATGAGATTTAGATAATTTTGAAAATGGTTTTTATCAAAAAGCTACACTTTTGCATCTAAATATCTAAATTTCAATCCAAACATTGAATTTTTTTGAAATTTGGGTCACAAGTAAAAATATTTATTATCTTCATGTGGGCTTTGGAATCACCTCGATCGAATATTTAATGGAGAAATGGCATGCTCTGAAAGTTGATATGGAGATGCTATCATGACAGCAACCATTGCTGAGGTTGGGATGCATATGAATTTTGATCTAACCATTAGAGCTTTTTAAAATTTGGTATACTTTTATTACTCTTTGAATGTGATGTGTGGACTCTAGAATCGCTCTAGTAGGAGGTCAGATGATGAAATGGTGCACTCCAGAAGATGGTCCGATTGTGCTGTCATGATAGAAAAAATAACAAACTTCTAAGGTATCCAATTTTTAATTTAGCCATTAGATCTTTTTGAAATTTGGTGAACTACTAGTAATCATTAAAATTTACTGTAAGCTATAAAATTACTTTGATCGAAGGTCGGACGATAAAACGATACCTCCCGAAAGTTGGCCTGAGAGAGTTGTCATAACAGCAATTTAATTGTCATGACAGCAACTTTTTACCCTACTTTCACCTAGTTTGCTTAGATGCACTATAGGTAGAACCTATAAATTTTTTCTAAAGGTTTTCAATACTTATTTTGTGATCATGTATTTGTTTAGTAATTTAAATGATTTGTTTCCTAAGTTGGTTTTAGAATCAACTCCTTAACCACACTTAATTTATTTGAATTGTGTAATTTTTGGATAACACATGAGGCAAATGTTACATTGTGTGTGGTCCATCTGAGTTGGTCAAAGTGATTTCGGAGCTAATGGCATTTAGTCGTGTGAGTTGGATACTTTTGAATGTGTTTTAAAATGAAAATAGACCATTTTGAGTTTGAGTATCCATCTTTTTAATGGATGATTATTTAGGTATAAGACTAGTGTTATTAGTTAGAGGGCTCAAAGAGCTTCACGTGAACACTTGAACCACTCAAATTGGATGTTAGATGGTGAAACGGCATACTTCAAAAGTTAGTCCAAGCCTAAGATCTAAGGTACGAAGTCATGCTAGGTGAAGCTTTGTGATACTAAGGATAAAGATAGGCATTTGGTAGTCTAGTTCTTTAGGTGATTTAGAGATGTCTTTGGATTCAGTATCTTCACCTTTAATACTAGAGAGACATTTCCCTAATTTGAATTGAAATTCTACCAACTAGGGGGAATAATCATTCCCATGCCTTTAGAGCCAAGAGCTCTCTTCAGAAGTGGAGGCTGTGCTCCAAAAGATCAAGGAGTCATGCATTGATAGAGTCCTTAGGCATTTGGCTTTGGAATGCATAATTAATCAATTATGTTATTAATTATAATTTATATTTAATACTCACTTTTTAAATTTTGAACTTCAAAATACAGGAAAGAGGGAGAAGGAAATATGTGAAAAGAAATAAGCATTAATTCTTTGCCTCCTTCGCTACTAAAAAAAAGGGGTGTATATATAACAATTACTTTTGCCAATATATAATGGTTTTTAACTATTATATATTTTAGCGTTGTATCTTTTCCAAAAGAATATATGGTGATTTTTAACTGTTATATATTAGAAGTATATATAGTGTTTATTTTGAAATAGTCATTATGTATTGTGAGTATATTAATGGTTATTTAAAACTAATCATTGTATAGTTAGAACTATAAAGGGGTTAAAATAACCGTTGTATAGTTCCAACTATGTAGCGGTTATTTTTAACTATATATATATATTTGACTTTTAAAAATAAAACACGGGGCTTCATTTTTAATAGCCCCCTTCATTATACATATCGAAAGAAATTCTAACCATTGTATAATTCCAATTATGTGATAATTCTTTTCAAATAACTGTTATGTATTTGATTTTTTTGAAAAAAAATCATAATATGAAAATGCATGTCTAATAGCCCCTTACATTATTCACTATAGAAACAAATTCTAGCAATAAAATTAAAGGCATCCAAAATTCTAAAAACATGTTGCACTTCTAAACTTGGGTATATGAAACATCTCATCCAGCAAAACAAGAGCATTAATTCTATCAAAAGACATGCAAATTTCATCAAATAACTTACAGTTATTTGCCAAATTTTAAGCAAATCTGTATGACGCTTTAGATCTGGACGACTTTGAAACCTTTGGCTAATGAACAAACATTTTTCCAAGTGTAAAAATCCTTTTTCCAAGCTTTATAATGACTAAATTGGAGGACAAAAAGATTGCAACAATGGAGGAAGGGAACTACCAACCTAAGAATTAACAAATAGAAGAGAAAGCTTGAGGAGCAACAATGGAGGGGCTTAGTAGATGTCAACGACCCATGGTATGTGAAACCCACACTTAACGATGACACCGGAGACAACGACAATTATCCATGGTGTACCTATAACAGTTAACGGTGGTGGGTAGCTGAAAACAATGATTCTTGGTGAAGGGAAGTATCCTTGTGGTGAATAAGAGAGGTTTAACGGGAGGAAGAGAGAATTTTAAAGGTTCCAAAACGTAACAATTCTTAAAAATAGAGGAAGCTAAATTTTTTTTTTTAAAATGAACTATATAATGATTATTTCAGATAACCGCTATATAATCTGGGGTATCAATATTAAAAAAAAAAAAGAACTGTAAACAGTGCGTGGTTATTTAAAGTAACTGCTATATTGTTTATAATGGTGATTTATATTAACTGTCATATAAACCCAAAAACTATACATAGTCTTTTAAGTCAAATACTGCCTCATCTATACAACAGTTTTTAAAATAATCATTATATAAGAGTGTTATATATACACTATTTTTTAGCAGTGCCTCTCCAAAATACCTTTCTAAAAACGCTCTCTCTTTCCCTCCCCTCTCTCTGGTGTCATCTACTAATCGATAACAATTGAAATATGTCAGTCAGGATTTCAATTATACCACATGGAAGCAGATGATTAATTGTGAAAATTCGACAAATAGGATAAGAGTCAGTAAATATTTATGCTAAAATAGGGTACACAATCTCTTTTTCTACTCTAAATTCTTCAGATTCAGAATTAGTAAATTTTAAACAAAAAGGAACATAAAAAGAAAAAAGAACTAACAAATAGAGCCCAACAAGTGGGAAAGGCGAGAACAAGATCCGAATATATCACATGAATATAAAAATACATACACAAGTTTGTTTGCAATTAGTATGATCTGTTGATTAAGGTCAAACAACCTGAAATCATCATCCCCACCAAAAAGGAAAAAGAAAAAACGGCAACAAATGAAGCACTAATAATATTCGTTCATGACCATGGGATATATAATAATATAATACACATATATTCCGTTAATGATAGAAGATTCACTGTTTCAGAGCAGATTACAACAGCTAGAAGAAAACGTTGCAGCTAGCTAAGTCAGCTCTTGGAAGTAGAACCTGGAGGTTGGTATAGCTGCTGATACATGGCAACCATCCTATTGTATGCATCCATGGTCATAGGCTGCATGGATTATTAATGTTTGTATTTATTATATATCCTTCAATATGTATAATGTCATCAAACAAATAAAATAATATTTTATCTCCTCACAAAAACTAAAGCTAAAATAGTTAAGAAAAAATAACTTCATAACAAACGAAAAAAGTTTAACTACGATAAATACAATACAGGTTAATTTGCCATGCATGTAAATATTCTGCAGCCCCCTGTATACACAAGGTAATAGTAATTTAAGATGAAATTTTGTGAGACTAGTATATACAATACAATTAAGATGGGGAAAATATCAAAGAATGAATATCAAACAAGAATCTATAACAAATAAATATTAATAAATTAATAATTGAAGTTACTATTTGAACAAATATCTGATCAGTTTAGATTACTTGTCTGATATTAAATTCTTTTTAAAGTTCTTTATTGATATTCTCCCAATGATATATGTATCTGTGGACAATTACTCTTTGAAACCATGTGATGAAGGCCTTTTTAACCGTTACCGAATGGTTGTGATGTAGAAGATAGCAGGACACACATTAAAAGGTAAGCAATCAAATCTATCAATTTCTACATAATGCAATTATATTGCTACTTTCTAATTTGATTTGATTGGCTAACTGATTTTAACAACTTCCTGTTAACAATACATCAAACTTTTTACTACTATATAAGAACTAGAAATTAAAGTTCACCCCTTGAATTATTTTAAAATAAACTATAAAAAATTTAAAATATACATTTAATTTTTTAATTTTATATAAAATTTTATTTTAGTCCCTTAATTTTTAAAGTATCTTTTTATCTTATAATCCTAATATTGTTAATTTTATCTCAACAAATTTTTACATTAAACTTTCAAATATTGATAAAACATTCTTAAATATTAACATATTAAATTTAATTATTTTAAAATAATAATGATTGATAAAAAAATAATCATTTAATACTAATGGTGTTAGAATTAAAGGAAGACAAAAATACTCCATAAAATTAAGGGATAAAATTAAAATATTATATAAAATTAAATGATTAAAAATATATTTTAACCAATATAATAATTATAACAAATTGTACTGTTATTTTATAAACAGTAAATATAATGTATGAATAAAAATAAGATTCATCACCTGGTTTTGCCCTGCTAAAAAAGTGGACAATGGATCAGGCATCACGGTCGTTGACGGAGCTCCTTGTAGTCGATCAGTGCCAAGTGACGTGGCATCCCATGAAGCCAAAGGCATGAAAGCCGAAGGATGGAAGACCGGAGGAATACCAACAAAGCTGTTTCCACGACTGATGTTATTCATATCAATACCCATTCCCATTCTCAAGCCCATGCCCATGCCCATAGGAGGCATCATGGACATTTGAAGTTGTTGCATGGCCATTGGTAGCAACATGGCTGACATATTCATTTTACTCATCACATGCACCTGAGCTTGCAGCTGCTTTAGATACTCTATCACCTCATCCAGCATTGAAGCTTTATCTGTCTGGAATACATAATGTATTTTTACTTCAATATAAATGCCCAAAATCACAATTACAATTAAGCTAATTGCTATGTTATATTGAAATTTCAAAATTGTACATATTTTTCCTTTTTAATATTTATGGAAGCCTTCTACATTCAATATAAAGAGAAAAGAAATGAAAAGAAAAAGGGCAAAAGAAAAAAAAGTAAGAGATGTTATGAATCTTTGCAAATTAAAAATTTAAATTTCCTTCATTGTTATTCCCTCTATTTTTAAAAATAAGAGAAACTATCATATATTTCTTTATTCTTTTATACAATTACCCATCATTCATGAGCCTATTTTTTTAATTATTATAAGCAAAACTACAAATTTCAAGAAACATTAATTACTTTTTTTTAAATTCTTTCTCATAAATGGATTATCAGTCAGTTGGAGAAAAAAAAAAGTAAACATCAATTACAAGAGCATTTTAGTTTAAACAGTTTAATTTCAGATATAATTATTAGGATTAACTAATTTCTTTAAACTGTGTGACTTAGTTAAAACTCTTCTATATTTTTTTTTAAAGAGGGAGTATATGGCATACTACTCTGGTTTTATTTATAATTTATTTTTAGCACTTTTTTTAGTATCAAGAAAAATCTTGAACATCATTAACTCTGTCAAAAAAATTTTAAAAAAATAACTTTGCTCTTATTAAATATACATAATTTAATAACATATTTTTTTATCTCCAATATTCAATGAAAGATAAAAAAATTTATAATAAAAATTTAATGATATAACATGAGACAAAAAAAAAAAAGGAGTGTACATATGTATAAGACATTGATAATTAGTGACTTTCAAAATTAAACTTTTATCTATGAGTAATAATTGACTTTTAAAATAGCTCAAGAATAACTAATCGTTTTTTTAAGAGAGACACAAATTTAATTTGGAGGGTTTTTATTGGTTACTTATTGTTTTGCCTTTATTATTACATCTCTGGTTTTTAGCCAAAACATTGAATGACAAGGCTGAGGCAACAAATCAAATACACAATGGCCTACCCCTAGAAGGGTTTATATGGGAGTAGTTGGCTGTCTCCTCACCTAACAACCCAATGTCAAAGTGTTACCATGTGTTACAGAGTCTTTATGTGGACATTAAATGTGTGGCTGCCAAACACTGCCCTATTGTTCCCATATCCATATCCGATTGGAGCCAAGTTTTGAACCACATCTTCCCAACCCCACCGCTGTCTCCTCAATCCAAAGCTCTGTCTAGTAATCTTACTTGAAAATGCATATCTAGAGGTGCTTAATGCAATGATTAAGACAATCAGTTTGATTATTTACACAAAAATTTGTTTATGATCTTACCATCTAATCATTTAATCCTATTTATAAGGTAAAAAATAAATATTTATTTTAATTTTATTTATGAAATATTTTAACAATTATTGAGTTCATCTTTATTTTTTTGCCTCTATTAAATGTTGAAGAGATTATTAAATGCATGGTAAAATATTTTATTTTTAAAGTATATATATAATAGGAGTAATAAAATTAAAAACTTGTTACATTTTTAAATAATATTAATAAAATTTAAAATTTTTCTTAATTCTTATAAAAATATTAAAAATAATTTATAAATATGATTAAAGAGACTATTAAAAGTTGCGTGAATCTTTAATAAGGAAAAGTCTACTTTTTTTTACGACAATACATTAAGAAAGGGGGAAAACAGTCCGAGAATCATTCTTTTGCAGAGTTTATAATCAAAGATAGTGAAAAATCAGGTTATAATTAAGAAGGCTTTCATACATGAGAGAAAATTACATCATGACAGAAAATATATGACGCAATAGGAATCATGCATGCATGCATTTATTTTCTCTTACAATTTTGAAGTTTGGGTTATTGCAACATTTTTATGTTATACATTATTTTTATATATTAATTTTTTATATTTCCTTTGGTATTATTCATAATCACTTTTAACATATTTTATTGAAATTGAAGAAAATCTCAAAATATATTAACTCCATCTAAAAATTTAATAACTTATTAATTTTATCTCTATTAAACATATATATTTTAATAATATATTGTCTCTCTCTAACATTCAATGAATGGTAAATGAGAAGATTTTTAATAAAAATTTAATGAGATGACTTATAAATAAAATAAAAAAACTTCTTTCTTTACTCTATAAATAGGATCAGATAGAGTAACTCAATGAAGCCTATATATATACTAACTTTAAAAGCTTGGATTGTAATTTTCTTATGTCGTGCTCCTTTGATTCTATTTATAAGGTGCTTTTAGTATGTTTCATCAAAACCAAAAAAATCCTCAAAACTTATTAATTCTATCTAAAAAATTTAATAATTTCTCAACTTTACTCATATTAAATATATATATATATATTAATTATATATTTTTTCTTTCCAACATTTAATGGATGTCAAATGAAAAATTTTGAGATGAAAATTTAATAAGATGACTCATAGATTAAAAAAAAAATTTCTCTCTCTCTCTTCCTCCTAAAAGGGAATAATAACTTTGTGCACCCTAATTTGGTTAGAACACGGAAGATATTTGATAAGAAATATTAATAATCTTAAAAGCCTCATGTAAAATTAACCAAGAAATATAGGTTGTAACTTCTTGGGATGAAATAGTTGGGATAATTATATTTTTATCCACTCAGTAAAATTAAGTTATTTTAAAAATATATACTCACTCCATCTAAAAATATAAGATATTTTTTGAGAAATTAAATATTTAAAAATATAAGACATTTTTAATCTTTGAAGGTATAATTATTGTCTTTTTTTTTTAAGTAGCCGTATTGATAATGACTTTATATTTATTATAGAATATTTAATATAGATAAATATAAAAAATAAAATTAATTAAAAAATAAATAATTATTTTATTAAGAGATAAAATTTTATTAAAAATATATTTTTAATCTGAGGGATTATTAGCTATAACTTTTTTCATGCGAGGCTAAATTTGGACATGCTCATTCTAACGTTTTCTAATGAGATGGACATCCATTCTTTGTCGCTTACGATGATTAGCATACATTCAATTTTGACGGCTCAGGTCAGATGAGAAAAAAGATATTTAAATGGAACTCAAATTTGGGATCAAATTCAACAAAATGAATATTTCAGAAATTCTTTCCCAAAAAAAATCAAAATAAAATTGCGTGAAACTGTTTTGTTAGAAGAGTAGTTTTAACACGAAATTTAAAGTGGTGATTTATTTCAGAGAGAATAACAATAAAATCTCAAAACTAAAAATTTATAATAATTAATTTCCAACAAAATTTTTTAAAAATAATTTATAAATATTGATCTAAAAAATTGTAAACAAACATTTCAACTATAAATTGAGAATTATATTTAAAATTTAAATATTTTATTTATAGTTAGAACAACTAAATTTATGTTTAAATCAATATTTACAGTTAATTTTTTAAAAAAATTCGGAGAACTAACTATAATAAATTCAATGAATTGGGATTTTAAAGTCATCCTCCATCTAATTGGGCAGGAATAGGAAGAGGAATCCGCTGTTATATTTTGTGTCCATCATCTTTGATAGGAGATCTAGATTGTTTAGATTTAAATTTTGAAAAAATAGCAATCAAGCTATTGGAACAAATTTATATTAGTCTTGATCGATTATTATTAAAATTTAAATAAATATTTATTAATTTAGATTAATTTTTTATCAACAAGTATCCATTAATATTTTAATAATAACTCATTTTAAATTAACAATAATTTATTCAAACTTTTTTATTTGAATTTTGACAACAATTGATATAAATTTACTTTAGTGATCCTTGATTACTATTTTTCCTTAATTTTTTTCTTTTTTATATTCATGAGTTAAATCTGCAAAGTTTAAATACTCCTTCAGTTAAAAAATGTAAGGCATTTTTGATTGAATCTTATCCCTAATAAAATAGTTACCTATTTTCAAACTAACTTTTTTTTATATTTATTCCTATTAAATATCCTATAATAAATATAAAGTTACTATCAATAGAGGCATTTTAAAAAAAAAAGACATTGATTACACCTCAAAAGATTAAAAATACCTTATATTTTTAAATATCCAAACCTTCAAAAAATATCTTATATTTTTAAACAGAAGAAGTATCATTTTTTTATTTTTAAATTTCATACGTTAAAACTATTTTTTTAAAAATAGAAGCTAGAATTTTTTTTTTATGTGTCGTGTTGTATTTGTTGAAATAAAATTTAAAATATGAAGAGTAATTAATAATAATTATGGATAGTCCAGATTTAGAAAAGATAATGAAACTTACATCCCAATAAAATATGAATTTAATAATTGTTAGGTTTTAGTAAATTTTGTTAAAAATTATGTTGTAACGTATCAGTTGAAATCGTTAGAAATATAAGTTACAGGGGCACATAAGTTTTATTGACTTGTTAAATTGACTTAACAAATATAAATTTATTTGAAAAGGTACACGTAGCTCATCTCTCAACAAATTTTTAAAATCTAACTATCTTTTCATTACCTTTTAACCCCTAAATACCATTTTCACAATCCAGACTCAAAAGCCCAGATCATTCTCGAAAAAAGCAAGGGATTTATTCTCACTACTATTTTCCTAACTAATTAATTGAAAATGAATAAAATTTATATATTTAACCTTATATACTTAATATATTTTTATTCAATCAAATAAAAATAAGTGAATTTTAATGTTAATAATATTAATAACAAAAAAGTATTATAGAATAAATAATTTTTAAAACATATATATGTTTGGGAAAACATAATTTTAGATCCCTACATTTTGCTCACATTTTACTATTGGTCCTTACACTTTTTTTAATATTTTAGGTCCCTTCATAAATAAAGTGAAGAAATTTTAAAGGAATTTAACATATCAAAAAATAAAAATATAGGGATTTAAAACAAAAAAAAATACAAAGATTAATAACGAAATATGAACAAAATGAAGAGACTTAAAATTATATTTTTTTTTAATATGTTTTTAACACCTTAAATATAGAAGACTAAGTATATAAATTTTTGTTATTGACAATTTGTGAGTCGGGACCATTATAGAAATCAAAATAACTGGCTGACACACTACGGATCACAACACTATCACCAGTAAAACCAACAATTGCAGCTATGTATTGAGTATATACCTTGCTGGAATTTGGGACCAGCTTTTGCAATGTCCTCATCCTCTGGTTTATCTTATCTCTCCTTTTCTGAAAAACAAATAAATACTTATTTAATTAAATAAATAATCATAAAAATATTAAATTCAATTGCTTAAAGTGAGATAGGTCCACCCTTTCAGATTGGTTGTGTACTGCTGCTGCCCTTCTCCTTTTAGTGGACACTGAGGTTCTTCCTATTCCTTTCTTTTCGTCCTCCTCATCGCCTGTCTCTTTCTGCGACAATTAACATATTAAAATTTTTTTATCAATTAATCATTTATTACTTATTAAATTACTCAGATAATCTGGCAAGAGAACTTGAAGTCAGAGACGGGATGACTATCTCCCAAATATAGTTTGTGACTGTGTGTTGAGGGATAACGATTACTTTATCACACTTTATTTTTAAAAGATTACTAAAGTACAATTTTGATTATTCGCCGTGAGAAAATGTGCACCTTAATCAATAAAATAACTTTTTTTAATAAAAGAATTTCAATTTTCAAAAGCAAAAACAGTTACAAATTATTTTTACTTCATCCATTAAAATAATAGAAATATTGACCTTTTTTTTTTGAGCAAAAATAGAAATATTGACCTTGAAATTTTTTTTATATATCCAATATAATCTCTTTTCTTATGTAGTGCCTAGATACAGATATAACGCCAAAAGTGACACTGTTTGATCTTATCAGTTAATAATTAATTTTAACCAAAGCACATTTATTGATCTCCGTAGCTTTATACAATTTTGTTTTAGTTTCCATCATTTTTTAATATTTTCAGTCTTTATATGGTTTATGATAAATATTACAAATACTGAAACTATAAGGATTTAAATAATAAACATCATTCAATTTTATTAAAACTATAAAAATTAAAAATTCTAACAAAAAAAAACTACAAAAACAAAAATAAAACCTTAAAAAATTAATTATAAGAATAAAAAATTATGTTTTCTTAAAATTTTATAATCTAATTAAAACTGACAACAATAACAGTTACCAATAATGTGAGAGAGAGAGGGAGAGAGATTTTGCCTGTGGTCCGCTATGACAAACAGAATCGTGGTCGTCGGCGTTGGTGGTTTTGGTGCACTGCTTGGCGGAGCTGGTGTTTTCCGGCGACCCCATCGACATGGAAACGAAACCCATCTCCAATTCCTTCTCGCACGTGTCCAACGTCACGTGCTGGCTTTCTCTTCCAAACGTGGCGCTTCCACTCGCACTCGGATCTCTGCTACTCCACTCAGGAGCCACTGGCACACGCGCCACCTTCGAGCGTTGCGACGCCAATAGTGTCTCTTCCCCTTGCGTGGCGGGCTCACTACAAGACCCCACACGTGTAGAACAGCCCACCACGCACGTGCTAACTGTGGCACCACGTGTGGTCCGCTTCTCTTCGGTGCGATTTGAACAAGGCACCATGGCGTCCATGGTGACCGTGTTCGATGCCGCCGCCGTAGCGATGGTGGTCATTACGGCAGCCGCCGCCGCCGCTCTCTGGTTATCAAGCCACGGCACTAAGTCATCGCCGTCGGTGGCGCCGACGTCGAAAACGGATTTGCTCCGGTGGGGAAAGCGAGTGGCTTGGTTTACTATAGACTCCAAGGTGCCACTCGCGCGTGGCTTGTCCCATGTGTACTTGGAAGATGGGGCTATTGACCTGGCGCCGGCGCCGGCGGAGATGGGTTTCTCCGGTACTCTTGGCTGACCGAAACCGTGCATGAAGAGCTGTCCATTTTCCCATGTCAGCTCCGCAACTTCGTAGTCTAACCTGCACGCATCATCAAATACCAGGCAATCCCATCATCAATAGGTTCAATATATTATTTTTGAAAGATTCGTTCGAATATTATTTATATATTCAGGTAACGCAGAGAAAGATGAACAAAAATGGACAGTACACGGGAACATCAGGAGCAGTGGAATTGGAATTTGAACTACGAAGAGGGACTCTTGGGGCTGTGGGATTTTCATCCAAATCCCAGCTAGGAACACACTGACTCATTTCAGAATGTTTAGGTTCGCTGTTGCAGCAGACAAGAGAAAGGAAAATGGGATGTGGATTTTATTTGGCAAGGAAAATGGGAGAATTTAGTCCACGTGAAGGAACAAACAAGGGAGTTCAACTGGTTTGAGAAATAATTGGTTTCTTTTAGAAAACAAGTTGATGAAGAATATACTGCAACTGGAGTGCAGTGGAGAAACGGGGGTATAAAAAAAGTGTTTGAAAGCGAGATTACCACAATTATTAATGTTCCTATTATTATTGTTATTACAGGATGGCAAGTACATGAAGGAAAGAAGTCATGAAGAGTTGTTTTGTGCTTTCATTCATCCAGGTGGCTTTAAATGAGCCAAGTGAAAATGAATTCATCAAAATAGCTTTCGGAAATTGGGTGTATAAATCATGTCCGCGCTTATAACCACCTATTTATTAGGTAAAGTTAATATATTGAGGTGACATTAAATTGTGTCAAGGACCCTCCCCCTATTTTTTTAAGAAACACTAGATACCATATATTAAAGAGTGAGCAATATCTCCTTAAACAATTTTTTTAAAAAAAATCAAAATCTCTTTTCTATCAAAGATCCATCATCTTCTCTATTATTTGTCCCTCCAAAGCTCCTATACTTTATTCATTTAGGGATTTAGAACATTAAAAAATGAAAGTGTAGGGATCTAAAATACTGAAAAAATATAGGGACCTATAGCAAAATAATAGTAAAGTTCAGAGATCCAAAGTTATGTTTTTCTTATCCTTTAATTATTTTTTTCCTAATATCAACACACGCACACACTTTCTCCAATTTTTAGTATAAGATAGAGTTCACAAATTTTTTTAGTGTTTAATACAAGGCAAAGTTAGAATAATTAATGCTTTTTTCTAATTTTTTTACCCCCTGCTTATTTGTTGTATTTTGAATTGTTGAGCAACAATGTATTCAAGTTATTAATTGTAAAGAAGGGTAAAATTAGTAATCAAATGGGTATAGCATGGAGCATATGATACCCCAACTACATGTGTGATAGGGGGAATTCGTAATTCAAAAATGAGATGGAATATCTTTAGCTAAGTAGTTCTCTTATGAAAGGTGAGCTAGTATTAGTTTATATAAAATTGTTCTAGTTGTAGCCTACAAATCAGTCGAAGGTAGATGCGGAGGTTCAAATGGATTGTAGTGACCACACAAATAACTAGCTAATTAAACCACAATACCATGGTAATTAAAGCTAATATCCCAAGTTAAACATTACCATGGTAGAAGAAAAGCTTAACCATAGTTATAAGAAACAAAAACTAATTGAAAACTCTTTTAAAATGAGATCCCAATTAAAATTGATTTCCAAAAAAAAATTGATTTCAAAACAACATATTAGAGTAATCAAACAAACGGAAGCAAGAGGTAACCTGTTAAAGCGTTACTTAATAGCATAGGCATAACATTTGAAAAATCTAAACACAATTAATTAAGTTAATCAATGTAATTAGTGAGTTGAAGAGGTGTGTGGCCAAAGATGTCTAATAAGCATGCTTGGTTGTGATTTCAATTCTAAACGCGAGTCTAAAGTGGAGTCGAGTCACCCAGATGTGAAAAGCAAAAGAAAAATTGAAGGGTAAGATTTTGTGCCACGCGTCGCAACTTGTGGTTACGCTGCCGCGGTGCATCTGCACTAATACACCTGTGTGAGGTGATAGGAATTAGTCGCTTATCCTTCAAAATTAAACTAAAGATAACCCTAATATAATATAGGGTCAACCCTAAGTCATCTCCTAAGGAATGGTCTTAGTCTAATTAAAAGTTATCTAGTAGAATAAATCACCTAAAGTTGTAGGAATTTATACCTAATTATCTAAAGTAATTACCTAATGATTAAAATGCTAAATAAAGTGAGTGAAATGCACTTCCCTTTTCACAATAATGGAACCCTAAAGATTAGTTGATTTTGGACTTATTATCTTCTCATGATTAGGCTAAGTTTAGCTTCCTTTTCCTCTTGACTAAAGGTACCATGACTTTAGAAAATTATCCTAAGCCAATTAACCTAATTAGCTAACTTTTCTAGGTCATAGATTAAAGTCCCTATTTCAATTAACCAACTGGTGAAGAAATTAGCCAAGCGATTCACTCAAAATCTCCTCTCAACAGCCACGGTCAAAACAATAATGTGAGTAACCACAAGATTAAGTCAAGCTACACAATAATACAAACATTAACACCATAAGATTATGCAATATTAACACAAGTAATTCACTAATTAAAAACACAAGATTATGTGCCAAACAAAGAGTGGCAAAATTCAGTCATGGCTGTCCAAAGAAGAAATTAAATGAAACAATCTTCTCTCTTTACATCAACATCAATTTAAATTAGAATTTACAAGCTAAGATGATTACACACTAGACAAGCTAAGATGATTAAACACTAGATTAAGGAATTTAACCATCTAGTAAAAAGAGAAGAGGATAGGAAACAAAAGAACTTTGCCAATTTGAAGCTCAAGACTCATCCTCCATCTTCATCTCTCTAGGATTCCATAAAGAAACTTAGCCAATCTTCATCATCTTCAAGAACCCTAAGTTAGAAGCTTGTTAACCGAAATTCATGGAACTTGAGATGAAGAAAATAAGCTTAGAACCTTATGAAATAGGAAGGGATGAAACGAAAATGAAGAGAGTAAATGAATGGTGTGAGTTTTGTGGAGGTTTAGAGGCTAAAAACGAAGGTTAAGGTGCTGGAAAATGAAGAACAAAAGAGAGAAAATGAAGAACAATATGAACAAGAGAGAAAATGTGGAAGATGAATGAGATGAATGTTGGATCTCAATTAGGGCTGAATAGATGTACTCCTAAGTGTTTTCCATCAGCTGAATACTCAATTAAAAAATGGTTAAAGGAAATAAAAAGAAAATGAGAGCCTTGTCACATTTGCAAGGTGGTACCTTCCTATTGGTTTGTAGATGATTCCAATATATGCCTAATTTTTCATGTGTCATCTACATCATTTGAGCTGAATTAGTCCCTCAAAATAATCATAATTCACATGCAAATGATCAGCCATTGACCTCAAGGAGTGTTGACCTCAATTGCTTAATTGATGCACAAGTCACATGCCACTTATGTTACATAAATCACATAATTCAATTAAATAGCATCTAATATAATACAATCTAATTAATGTCTAGAATTAAATTCATGATTAGAAGGGATAATTAATTAAAATAACTAAGTTTCAAGCTACACAAAATTATATAAAAATTTTCACACAAAGGCAAATCAAAAACTAGGTCAAACTAAGATGCTTAAGAAAGTGTTGACTTTTTTATTTAATTACCCCCAAACTAAAATAAATTTTAAAAATATAATTTCACCACTTATCAACTAGACATAAAATGGACTTTTTTAATTTTTCTTGTACATTTTCTCAAAAGTTCATTTTTTGAATCAAAATGCCCCTATTGCACTAAACCTAGAAGCTTAAGCAAAATTTCAAATCTAATATAATGTGTACACTTGAAGGTGATAAATCATTAATAAAAGAGTCCTAATTGACAAATAAAAGTGGGTAACAAATGTGTTGTATCAGGAGGGCTTCTCTGTGCCATATATCACAGTGCATTATGTGTTCGTCATAGCCCATAGCCAAAAATTAGACTTTATCAGTTGGTGTCTATGTGCGAAAATAGAAGAGGAAAGGAGAAAATGAAGAGCACAACTTGGCTTTGCTAGGGTACACACATTAGGACCCTTAAGGATAGTCAGAGGCTTCCCATCACCTAAGGTAAGTGTAATAAGTTTCCTTCCTTCCTTCCTTCTACTTTTTTTTTTATGAGGATTTGAGTTAGGCTTTGAGTTAGGAGATTGATTTTTGGTGTATAGGAGTTATAGGTCCAAACCTATTGACTAAAATGGATATAATAGGAGTAGTTTAGAGTATTTAAACCCTACATTAATGATTTTGTATATGGTTAGTTGGGATGAGTCATTAATATGCAAAAATTGTCATTTAGAAGGTGGTTGGGAGTATTTTTTGATCATTAATGGTGGTTTATTGATTTATTAAAGTCAATACGGGTTAATGGAATCTAGTGAACCTATTGGGTATTAATAGATAGTGAACTTGTGTGATTGATTAAATAGAGAATGTGGAGTTTGTTGAATCCTGATTTTGATGATCACAAAATAAAGAGAAATTTCATGCATTTCAAGTTTTCTTAATTAAAATAATTGGCTTAACATTAAAACTGACTAAGTGAGAGCTTATACGAACAAAAGGTATGTTATCTTGTTAGTTAAGTATTTGACTTAACTATAATCCTTTGTACTTGAAGTTGTCTTGTTCAAAAATATTTCTAAGTGTTGATAACACTAGTACTAGATGCCTTAACACCAGTGTTACCTCTGTTATCTTCACTGTTCTATTGATTCTTGGTATATATAATACTGGTCCTACTCATTCTAACACCGGCGTTACCCTTTTGAGCTTATGCAATTGAGTCTTTCTTATTCAAACCTTTTTCCTTGCATTGGTACTATATTTTCAACATCATTCTTATTTTTTTCTATCCTTAGTTGAGTTATGTCAACACCTATGTTATGTGGTTAGCACCTGTACTAAGTTTTGCTCAAATTTATGTAACACCTGTGCTAACATCTTAACACTGGTACTGTTCTTTCTTCTATTCTCGAAGAGATTTGATTAATATGTTACTTCGGTATTATTTTTTAACACCGGTGCTAAATAATCTTTTTAGAAATATTCTAATTCTTCCAAAAATATCAAGAATCTTTGTCTTTTACGTATTGGATTACATTGGTACTACAAAGTCAACATCTGTGCTAAAACTTTCTTTATGTGTTTGTTCATGATTGTAACACCGGTGCTAGATCATAGTAACATCGGTGCTACTTTGAATCTTTATGCTCTAGAACCCATCTTTTAATCCTTCTTTTCATCTATAATCAATTGTGTTCACTCTATATCTTTACCAAATGATATCTAAACACAATTATCTTCTTGAAGTTCTTCTAGCTGCTAATATTTGTTTTGAACATTGAGCTTTCCTTTTATTATATCAAAATGTATAAGCTTCAACCACTTGTATCAAAAGCATTTAATGTTTTTAGCTGTTATTATACAAAAGAGGATGTCTCTACCATGAAGCATTGTTCCATTGGCTAGTCTGCTAGA